GAATGAGTGAGTTAGTGAGTGATAGTATGAGTGAGAGTGTGGCAGACAGTGGATGAAAAGTGGAGATAGGAGTTAGGGATGATATTTAGCTTTATGTTGTAATAAATGTGATTCTCAGCTAATATATATTGAACCGAAATGTCTCCATATATACAATATATTGGGTTAAAGGTTGGCTCACATAACAAATACTCAATCTATGAACAAGAGAGAGAGAGAGAGAGAGAGAGAGAGAGAGAGAGAGAGAGAGAGAGAGAGAGAGAGAGAGAGCTAAGGCATTCACTCCATTTGCAGCACATTTTCTACACTCATATCAATTGATTCCCAAGAGTCTGATTTGGTGAATGTCGTGCCACACACACGACTGTCCCATCATTTAATGAGAATAAGTGGTTATAAATGTGACCAATTCTAACATGTCTTTTCACTACAAACTATACTATCACTATATATTCATCTATATATATATATATATATATATATATATATACATAGTATATATAAATTATATGATAGTATACAGTACTCACACAACTCTATTACTTATAAATAAAATAGACTTTCCATTGTATTAACTCTACACTCAATCAATTCATTAATCATATCGTAAAACCATTGTCTTCGAGTCTAACAATTTTCAATTAATATGACATCACATTTAATTACATCTATTAATAAATTAATAGCAATTAAGCATTATTTGATTTTAATAATTATAATAATTTTTAAGGTTGTTTAATAATCAATTATCAAATTATGTTTAATTTAATAATTTAATTTATATAAAAATTGACTAACACTCATGTTATTCAAGATAATACAATATACAAATTTAATATAATATATATATATATTAAATATTTATATTAATAATCTATAGTTTGTATGTGTGTGTATGTGTGTGTGTGTATGTGTGTGTATGTGTGTGTGTGTGTGTATGTGTGTGTGTGTGTGTGTGTCTGTATTTTTGAATGTATGTAAATAATAAAAAAAATATTTAGGATATGACTAAAAGTACGGTTAAAAGACATGACAAGATTGGAAAGTGTGATGTGATGTGAAAAATAGAGAGAAAAATGGATGGAAATGGATGTGAGAGTCGAAACCAAAGTGAGATCTTCTCTCTAACACAGTCTATATGTTTAGTGTTGTCACTAAAAGACAACAATAAGGGCTAAAGTGAGTAAATCTTTATTGTATGCCTTATGTCGGGAAAGTGACAGAACTAGACTGTATAGACATACAGTTAGTATGTAGTGCCTAATGTGCCAAACGTGAAACACTTTTCAACAATACTGTATTCCTATGCCTTTAATACAGTATACACTATGTCTCATATGTTTTCCACTAACGGTGTGATGCCTTATAGTACACACACACACACACACACACACACACACACACATACATACATACATACATCCATACATACATACATACATACACACATACATACATACACACATACATACATACATACACAAACACACATAACAGTATAAATTTATACCTAACATATAGCTGTACATGTATTTTCTATACTGTCTATACAGTGTATATATATATATATAATATAAATAGTAAATAGACAACCAGTAATACTTAGTTGATCTAGCTAGATTTGCTAAAACTATATAACCATAAATCATTTAATTTTATCTATAATTTATTTGTATTAAACAAATTTATTTGGATATTATTTATTATAAATTTTTTTTATATACACTAAATTGTTTTTTTATTAAGTAAATATTTTTAAATTTTAAAAATATATAAATTCTATTTGTTTATTAATTTATATTAGATTTTTATACTAAATGACTGATTTTATCTATAATAAGATATTATATATATATTATTATTATATAAATAGTAAGTAATGATAAATTTGTGTATCACTATTGAATTCTCTATTGTAAAATAGATTAATAATACTCATATTTATGACAGTAAAGTATTATATGTTTAAATATCAACAATAAACACAAATATATAAAGTAAGTATCAAATAATATATATATATATATATATATATATATATATAAACAGTAATAAAAAGAAAATTTATAGCATTGAAGTAAAATATTATTGAAAACTGAAAACATAGGAAATTAATCTTTTTGATGATAAATGTCAAAAATTGTTGAATTGGGGTCATTGTGACCAACTGTCCATTCAATCAACAATTTAATGACACAAATGGGAAACAATATTATAGTTTCTGAGACATGAGTTAAAGGGATGTTTGGTTCCCAATTGGAAGGAAAATAAGAATTTAAATTAATAGCAATTTTTATTATTATTTCTACTGTAAAATGAAATTATCAAAAATATATTTTTTTAAATTCTCAAAATTGTTTAAAAACGAAAAACTTTTTGTTGTTATTATTATTGTATATTAAGTAAACACATTTTAAAACACTAATTGACTAAACATAAAAATTTTACAATTAATATCTTATTTGTTAATTTGTTTTAAATTTATCAAAAATATATTTAATTTAAAAAAATGTTAAAATTATAAATGCTAAGAGTAGCATTATTATTATTATTATTATTATTTCCTAAAATTACAATTATATTCAACACCAAAAGCAAATTTTGTTTTCCACTCATACGTTATTAAATACAGTATAATCATATCATTATTTTGAATGAACAGATCAACTGTACTGTACTAATCAAAAAAAGCAATATCATAGATACAGTAGATTCTGTACATACATACATACATAACTTACAAACTGCAAGTGTACTACTACTACTGCAATATAGATTGTTGTTATATAAATATAAAAAATAAAAAAATGTGAAATAGGGCTACTTTTTATAAAAATCAGCAAAATTTAACATAAATTCACATTCAATTGAAAAATTGATTTTCCATTGAAAAAAACCTTCACTTCTATGAAAGCAATTGCCGTTGAATTTGAAACATATATATATATATATATATATATATATTGATATAAAATGACTTGAAGAGAAGAGAGAGAGAGAGAGAGAGAGAGAGAGAGAGAGAAGAGAGAGAGAGAGAGCTGGCAATGCTTACCAAATGGTTGCTCATTAGTGGCGGGTGATTGTGACTGTGTTGAACACACCACACTTATTACATGACTTGATATGATGATCATAATTATTATTATTATTAGTTTCATATCAATAAACTGACACAACTTCATGTCTATCATATTATTATTATTATTTGTATTATTATTAGTATTATTATTAGTGTTAAGCAACAAAAAGCACACACACACACACACACAATATTTACCGATTATTATTAATATTTCCAATTTATCTATTGGTTAACTATTAATCAATACTAGTTTATACATTTTTTTGAAATAGTTAATAATATTTTTGATAATTTGATAAAAATTAGTTTTTTTAAAAAAAAAGTTATTCAATTAATTGTTTATTGATGTAAAGTAATTTTATTTATTTAATTTTATCTCTCAAATACTCTCAATCGTAAAGATTAGATTTGAATTACAAAATAGATAATAATAAATATTTGCAACAAAATGTAGAAGCGTTACAAAAGATACAAACTTTTATTTTTTTAACAAACAATTTCTCAATAAATGATAAAAGAATTGCACGAATATCTGTCACTGGCATCGGTGGCCACCAATGCCATCAACCAAAGCCATACCAGTGCCGCAACATTATGACAGTCACAACACTAACTTAACAAATACAGAGAGAAAATACAGCAAACAGTGAACTGTCAGAAACTGTACCGATATTTCACTACAACTTTTACAGTTCTCTCTCTCTCTTTATTTCTCTCTCTCTCTCTCTCTCTCTCTCTCTCTCTTTATTTCTCTCTCTCTCTCTCTCTCTCTCTCTCTCTCTCTCTCTCTCTTATTGAAAGCAAACGCGCATAACGTTTGGCGCAATCGATCAATATTTAGGGCCAAGTTTTCTATCTCTTGTGTTTTTTTTCAAACAAACTACACCTTTATATCGTGTAATCGATAATAATATATATTTTCATATATATATATATATTGTTGTTGTTATTTAATTATTGTTTTATTTATTTTGTATATAAATATATATATTAATTGATAGATTTAAAAAACAAATTATAAATTTTGTAAATATAAAAATTATGATAAATTTATCAAACTAATTAAAATGTCAAATATATTGTGTATACACTTTTACATATTTATTTATAATTATAAATTTTTATATTATTTTATATTAACAGAATAGAAATATATATATTTTTAATATTTAATCTTTAAAATTAAGTTATAGATATGTAATTTATTTATTATATTTAAAAAAAATCTATTTATTATTAGATTGTATTAGTTTGTAAAAATTGGTTTAATTTTAGCATAAATTAGACTAAAATATTTGTTTATATATTTGAATAGATAATGTTTTTATTGTATCCATTAAATATGCTCAGAGCGTAAAACTCTTGTTTAGTTTATATTAAATTACATAAATAAATACAAGAATTTTTTAAAATTATACATTTCTAACAATTACTGTTTTAGTGCTAACGTGTGCTAAATTTATAAAAATAGCGTAAATATACTGTATTTATACTGTATTTTATATTGTATATATGATATACACTATATATTGAAGGATCATATCATATCACTGTAAACTACTATTATATAAATAACTGAAAATAACGCTTTCTATTGTATATATTTGTGATTTTGAAATATATACTAATTAATACATTAATACATTAATTCGTATAATATCTAACATATATATATTTATAGAAATATATATATAGAAATACTATATAAACATATAATTAAGAATTTCAATGTAAATATTTGTTTTATTATTATTATTATTATTATTATTAATTTATTAACATTATAATTTTGAAGAGTTAATTTTAATTATCAATATTTTGAATTAAATTTATTTAAATAACTAATAGTGTTAATTTAGATTTTAATTAAAATATTTCTAATTAACTATTTAAATATATATTATATATATATACTTACGTGTTTGGGATAAAAATTTTTGAGTAGCCAATGATGATCGTGGCTCAGTTTGCATGTTAGCACCTGGACATCAAACAAACAAATAAAACATATTAATTAGTATATTATAAGTAATACATTTAATTTTATGTATTTAAATTATTATATTGTAATTTAAATTTGTGTCATATATTTATTAAAAAAACTTTATAAGTTTATATCAACATTGTCTATTCATCAAATTATATATTAGTAATCATAATTTAATTTATAAGCATCTCTCAAATTTTATCCAATAGTTTCATAATTTATGATTAATGATTGATAGCCCAGTATATATATATACATTTATATTAATTTACAATCAAAGAAAAATTTTTAAATAATAAAAAAATATGTAAAATTTTTAAAAATTGTATATATTTTTCTATGATTGTTATATTTAGTAAAATCTGAAATGTTATCATCATTTATATTAATTTGTCACTAAAAATACAAATGCAATGTCAGTTAAGCACTTTATTGTATTTATCATTATAACAATATGTGTGCCTCTTATTAAATATTTATGCAAACTTTAGTTCAATGTAATACTTAAAGCTTTTATAAGACTAAACAAATATTTTATTTTTATAATACCGTATGATTCCTATAGAGAAAGTAAAAGAGTATTATTAAAATTAAATTATACATTTTCTACAAAAAATAAAATATTTTTACAATTTTCTATCACTTTAATGTAATGTATTTGCTTAAATTAATGAGAAAAATTAATTAACATTTTAAAATAGTTGCATTTTCTTAAATAATTACAATTTTTAATTAGTATTTTAATATACTATATATATACAATATATATTACTAAATTAAAAATACATTGATTAGTGTTAAATAGATAACATTTAAATCTAATTAAATAAATACTATATTATATTTTATATAACAAAATAAGAATATATTATTATATTTAAAAAACAATTTTTATATATAGAATACACATTCTGTATACTAATGTGAAACCTATTGTAGAAAATGCGAAATATTTTATTGATTTTTTTAAATACAAGAATCGTTTTATTTATATATAATATAGATGTCAGACTAAGATGTGTAATATATTAATATAATGTTATATTATTATTACTAATAATGCATATTATATTTTATATTAATTTAAAATCACATTTTATAAAATTAAATCACTTTAGATTATGATATTACTATTATACGGTAATAATTTATTACCAAAATTTTATACATATAAATAGTAATATATAATATAATTACTTTATATAAATAATATAGATATAATCTATAAGTTTTTTTTAAATTGTTGACATGATATTTGTTAATTTATATTTTATGTAATTTTATAATTTTAACTAAGTATTTATCAAATTTTTATAAATTTATATACTGACAATTTTAAATAATACATTATAATTTTAATTATTAATAACTGATCATATTGATAATTAAAAATTTTTTTGTTAATAAATATAAGTTTTATATTTATAAATATATTAGTAAAAACTTAATCATATAAAATAAAAAATATTTATTACAACAAAATACTTAAATACTATTTATTATATTTATAAGTTATAAAGGTGATAGAAAAGTACAATTATTATTATTATGTTTTTTATATTTTCCTGAATTAAATTAAGATAAAAATGCAAACAAATTGTTAGACAGGAAATATATTAACTTTTTTGTTAATATGAGTACTGTATTTATATAATTCAAATACATTTAGTATTTTTAGATAACGTTTAATTTAAACCAGTGGTTAGTATAGTAAATATATATACAATACAGTACTGTATATTTGCATTTACTTTAATAATAAATCCAAAAATTTAGTATCATTTAGACAATAGTTTCAGTAGTAGAGGAAGTGATGGACTAAAATAGGAAATGATTAGTACAAACAAAACATAGACAACCAAATGACACACACATTCACTACAATACAGTCCACTGTATAATGTATTTGTTGTCATCATATAAATCAATGCACTTTCTTTCAATGCAGTACTACATCGTCTATTATAATCATTATTATTTGATACCTTTATTTACTATATAATCATCACATTTTTTTTGTTTTGTGTTAAACATTTATCACAATTATTTCAACCTAATGTCCAATTGTTATACTGGATTTTTATTGACAATTGTATTAATATCAGTTAAACATCTATTATTATAAGTTATATCGATAGATAATCAACGAGTAGTAGTAGTAGTAGTAGTAGTAGTAGTAGTAGTAGGCAAATGTGGGCTAATTTTAGTAGTATATAACAATAAAGGCTATGTTATCAATACATTTGACGTTTAAGTTTTGTTATATAATAAATACAGTACTATTATTATTATAATCAATGAATCAAATAATAAAATACAATCGAGTCATTCATAATAAATATATGCCAAACAATATAATATATATAACAGTTTTTAATGATTGCTAATGTTTTTATCAATATTGCTAACAGTGCTCTTTGAAAAACAATCACAATAAAATGCAATCACAATAATAGTGGCCAACAAAACTAAAAAAGTGATCATCAATTGAGTCGATGATAGCATGGACTGGTATGGAAAGCAATAGGCACTCATTCAGACATACACACACACACACACACCTAAACTATTGCCAACTATAGCATCACCTGACACTTAGAGGGAACAGTGGGTGAGTGAGTGAGTAAGTGAGTTAGTCACACATACTGGCATTGTGTGTGTGTGTGTATGTGTGTGCAAAATATGTGACTGGTGTTAGAGATGACTCTAGCATTTACACCTCCATCAAGATTGATGATATGATGATCACTTGAAACCTATGGGTCGCTTCAATATAGAGTATAAATATTATAATGTTTGCCACTAATGATAAGTTACAATCAAATCTATTGCTTATTTTTTTTGTTTAAACACCAATTTGCACGCTATATATGCATATGTTATATAAGACAATGTTGTAATGTAAAATTTATACATTCAATACAGCACATTAATACAGTTTTAGTAATACATATTTTTAACAACAACAAAAAACAATAGCGTTAAACATTAAAATCTATATAATAACAAAATTATATAACAGTATAATCAAATCTAATATATAACTTAAAGAATGCTATTTAAACTACAAATTGTAATCAACAATAGATTTTTTTTTAATGAAAAACAGAATAATAGTTATAATATTAGTACAAAACTGTTAAGAAATTAGATAATAATAAAACCTATATTTTTAAGAATATCTTAACTATACAATTGTTATTAAAATTATAATTTTTAGGTTGAATGACTATATAAAAAATGATTATAAAAACTGATTATAAAAAAATTCTATATTTTATGATTAAATTTGTATAATTTGTTTCGTTTTGTTAGTTTATTTATTAAGGGCTTAATATTTGAAATATTAATGCAATATAATCAATACAATTGGCTAAAAAATGACTATTATTAATGCATTTGTAATGTTAAGGTACAATACTATGCTCTGTATATACAGTACTACATGTATGTAGACATTGAAAAGACACGCAAACATACATACAGTAAAAATTTATAGTGAATTTCACTTTTAGATTCCCAATAAATGCTTTAACATTACACTCGACTTAATACTTATGAGATTCTCTCTCTACTAAACCATTGAATTTTTGTTAAAATAATTTTTACATTATATAAATATATTTCGTTTTAAATAAAATCATAATTTAAAATTTATTATAAAATAAAAATTGTATATATAATACAATATACATAATTTATACTGTTATATATACAATTCTGTTATATATATAAAAATTTGTATCATATATTCTCTATGATATATCTATATTTTGTAAAAATACATTTAAATTATTTTAATAAATACCTATTTATAAGAATACACACACATTTAAATATATAATTGAAATTTATTGTAGCATAAGATTAAAACTCTAATATATTATAGATAAAATAATTATTTTTATTTTATACATATACTTCATATTAAATAAAAATTAAAATAAATTTAACAATTTTAATATATTAAAAAATATAACATTAATAAAGAGCACAGTAATTTACAGTAAGTTAATAATAAAGTTATAAAATGTTTGATTTTTAAACAATTATTCATTCAATTACTATCATAATATAATTATAACTTAATAATCAATTGCTTATCTATTTATTAAACTCATTAATATCCTAATAATCATTACAAAACAAATAACAATATATCGGTATATATATACTACTCAATACATACAATAATTATATATCTATAAATTTATACCCTATTAAAATAGTAATAAAGTTTTTGTTTTTTATTATTAAATACACTAAATATTAAATTAAAATTAATCATTAAAAATTTTGAAAGCATCAAATTATTATTATTTTATAAAAATAATATATAAAATATCAATTTTGTTGTAAAGTAAATAGTATTTACAAATATATGTTTTATATATTAATATATATATATAAATAGATAACACATACACAATAATCTCAGCAGAAAAAAATAAAATTATGTCTAATGTTTTATCGATAATAAGTAATTGCATTTGGATTAAATAACATTACAATATATGGCACTTTGTACAGTACAGTAAAGTACAGTCTAGTCTAATACTATCAAAATATCATTAAGAGATTTAAACATAAAATACGAAAAATATATATAAGTTAAATGCTTAAACACAATATGCTTAATAAGTAAAATATTTACAACACTGGAGACAACTTAATACATACTTAATACAAGTCAGCAAATTATTCAATATTAATAAAATAAAATACTTAATACTATAGTATTTTTAGATTTAAAAAAATACAAGAAAAATCCATTGTATACTAATATTATTAAAATTAACAAATAATTAATTTTAATTCTTTATAAATTTAACAAATTTATGTATACAATATTAATATAATATGTAATATATAATATATAATATGCTAATATACAATACCAACCGGTATATCAAATAGTTATTAAAAATATTATACTGTATTTTTATATATTAATATATAGATATTAATTCTATAATGTTTAAGATTATTAAAAT